AAAAAAAAAAAAAAAAAGAAATCCATAAATAGTTTTTCATTATCTGTGTCATTTTCCATGAACTTTCCGAAGACCCTCTGGTACTTCCAGAGGACCTGTCCTGGCTAGTCACTGTCCGGCTCAGTGGTCGCTCTCGGAGCATCCTCAGAGAAAGCGGACTCCTCCCTTCTCTCCTTGCCCCCACCCCCCCAGCCTCTCTCAACTGGCTTCGTAGCTCACAGAAGCGGGAAGTCAGAGGGTACAGGAAGAAAATGTTCGGAGTCCCTGTCAGCACAGTTTACCCCTCGCTTTCATCTGTGCCCACGCCTGCCAGCTCTGTCCCATTGCAGAGGGTGAAGCACTGTGCTCTCAGACAGCAACGACCCCTCCTACTTGGGCTCTGGACCCCACGCCGTCATTTCCCGAAGGTCTCACTCCGGTAGCTTCCACCTGACCCTCCCTGCTACGTCTGCTCTCCCGACACAGCAGCGTCCAGGCATGCAGTCAGTCTCACGGTTAAGATCCCCTCTCTTGACCTCAGTGTCTTCTTGAGCTGCGGCCCCATTTCCCTTTCTGTTATAGTAAAACTCCTGGAGAAAGCGGTCTGCATGTGTCTCCAATCGCTCTCCCACCAAGTTCACCTATTCCAAGTCCGGGTTCATGCCTGGAGACCTCCCGAACATCCTTGACACATGGGGACCTGTAATCCTGGGCTGGCTGAAGCTGGGGGCGGGTTGTACCGCTCAATGGTTTTTAGTAAGTTTAAGTACAGCCGTCACCACAATCTTAGAACATTGTTTTTTTGGGGAGAGGTTTTTGCTATTGGGTGTGTGCGCTCGCCAGAAAGAGAGGCAGAGACAGAACGCAAGAAATCACCCCCAGGGGGGATGGCCACGCTGCAATCCCTTCTCTATTCTCCCAGGATCTTGGGTACGCACACACACGCACCTGGTGTGAGTTTAAGCCACTAGGTCCGGGACTCAAACCGCAGTTGACTACATGGGAGTCCAGCGACATAGCCATTACGCCAACTGCTGGTTCCAATGTTACAACATTTTCATGTTAGGACATTTTACCCCTCTAAAAGGAATCCTGCACTTGGCAGTCACTCCTCTCTTCATCTGTGTCCCCCTCCCCCACCTGAAGACCATTCTGGACATTTGAAGTAAATGGAATCTCACTATGTTCTGCCTTCTTCCATGCAGCACGATGTGTTCGAGGCTCATCCTCGCATCATCCTCGCATCACCCTCGCATCACCGTTACTAAGTACTAACCCTCCTTCTCACTGGCAATTAGTATAGTAGGAATAAGTCACTTTTATTTTCTTTGTTATGCCTGATCGCTGGAGAGAGACAGCGAGGGAAGGAAAGTGAGAAATCACTCCCCGGCGGATGGCGGATGGCCATGCTGCAATCCTTCCTTCGCCTCTCCGGAGTTCGGGCCAGCACAGACAAGTGCAGCTTAAGTACTCTGCCGGGGCTGGGACTTGAACTGCTCAGGCAGCCAAGTGAGGTCCAGCCAGCTTACACACCATGCCACTGGCAGGCTGTCACACCGATTACCAGCGCATGGACATTTGAATGCTGCTACTTTTCGGCCACGGTGAACAGCCCTCTGAGCATTCCCATGCAGATCTCTGTGGAGAGGAATGTCGTCAGTTCTCTTGGGCACGTACCTAGCAGTGGAGTTGCTGGATCTCATGGTCACCCCGTTTAAGTTTTTCTTTTTCTTTTTTTTTGAGAGATTTTTGCTATAGGGTGCGTGCGCTCACCAGACAGAGAGAGACATAGAGACAGAAAGTGAGGGATGGTCACGCCACAATCCCTTCTCCTCCATTCTCCTCTCGGGATCTTGGGCACACACACACACGCCTGGCGTGAGTTTTAAGCCACCGGGTCTGGGACGCGAACTGCGGTCGACTATGTGGGAGTCCAGCGACATAGCCATTATGCTAACTGCTGGTTCCCAACCCTGTTTATTTTTTTGAGGAACCACCAGACCATTTTCCCCAGAGGCTGTACCATGTGCCATTCCCACCAGCAATGTACAAGGGTTGCAGTTTCTCCTTGCCCACGCCTCACTCGCCATGACCGATTTTTTTAGACGTTTTTGACTTCAGGTGCACGCACTAGCTGGAGAGACAGAAACAGTAAGAGGGAAAGTGAGAAATTGCCCCCTGGGGGATGGCTGTGTTGCAACCCCTTCTCTTCCATTCTCCTGCCGGGATCTTGGGCATGCACACACATGTGCCCCGCGTGGTTTTCAAGCCATCACGTCTGAGATTTGGACTGCAGCTGGCCATACGGGAGTCCAGTGGCGTAACTGCTATGCCATCTGCTGGCCCCATGATCTGACTTTTTTTTAAATCTTTTATTGTATTGTATTTATTATTACTTTTTAATTTGACCAGAGAGAGAGAAAGGGAAAGTGAGAAAGCAAGCCACCAGGTCCTGGACTTGAACTGTGGTTGGCCATGTGGGAGTCCAGCGCCTCTACCACCATGCCACCTGCCCCCACTCCCCCATGATCTGACTTTTTAATGGCAGTCACCCTAAGTGTGTAGAATGGTACCTCATCTTTTTTTTTTTTTAAGAGGTTTGTGCTATAGGGCATGTGCGCTCGCCAGACAGACAGAGAGAGACAGAGAGACAGAAA